AAGCAATTAGACATTTCAAAGTGCTTCACAAAAGAAAAAAAGCAATATACAAATACCGCCACATAAAATTTTATTTTATGCATCAGGAATTTTTGTAATTTGTTTACTGACTTTTTTACTGTCTTTATTAATAAATTGTTTACTCATTTCATTTGATTTTTTTTTCAAAAATGATCCAATGAGTGTCAAGGATCAACACTAGAAGACTATTTTTATTCTGTTTCTGTGTAAAAACGATGCTCCTTTACTCATTTTGAAAGCAAAGGTTTTTTGGAGGTAAACTAAAAATAACCGTCGATTCAAACGGGTATATTGTTGCAGAAACTCATCAGTTCACCCTTTCCACTGCTCTGATTGCTTGTTTGTTTATTCATTTGCAGAAGGACAATGCACATTAATTGAGAAGCCTATTGTTCGAATTAGAGCGTTATTCTTTGTGTCAGTTTGGCCCAATCAGCCTGTGCGGAGGCAGAAGATAAACAACACATCATGACATTAAGAGCCTTTGCTACCGGCGAAGTGTTTGAAAGAAGCTCAGTTAAAAACTTTTAGGTTTTGTAAATTACATCTTCAATGGAAACGTAACATGTAAGATGAGAAAAAAAAAAGTGCATGGTGTCCTCTTTAAATATTTATCTTCTGACCTTATCCATAGTCAACATGTAGAAAATTAAAGACCATCCTTCCATGTGATGGCTTTTTCCCCAGAGAGTAAAATGTTCTTTCAAAGACAAGGACGTAGTGTGTGCCAAAGTGTAGTTCGGGTTTATTAATCTATTAAAGGCAAGCTATTCAAAAACCTTGGACTTCACGTTATTATGTGTCCCTTTTGACTATGTGACCCAGAATGTTTTCCCTCCGGATTGTACTTTTCTCAGAACCTTGTATTTTCCCGTCCATCAGTTGAAGCTGTTTCGACAGTGGGGTCCAAAAGTGGGCCGTTCAGGTAAATGACGTCCACTGACACACTGCGCACTGACACACTCCTGTGAGTTTCAATAATCTGGAGACAGTGGAGGCCAGAGTACCATAAAAGAGCAAAACAAGTAAATCAGATCATTTTATTGATGTATTTGAAGTGAAACACTGTGAGAACCCTTCCTATAAAACACGAGTCAAAAACACGAGTTTAAATGTTTTGCAAACGAAAAATATCCGTCAGCATTGACTGACTCGTATGGCGTCGATCCTTGATGATTGTTGTGAGAAATGTCAGATCGAACGCATTTCACAGAAATATGTAATCCAATCAAATGGATAGTTTGTTTCATAGCTGTTTTTAATCCTACACTGTAAAAAGAACCCAGGTGATCCAACTTTAAAAGACTCAAATTATGTCATGAGTAATCAAATAAAATGTATCCAGGTAAATATATTACATTTATTAAGCTGTCGTGTTAAGCAAATGTAAATAAAGTAAGGCAAGGTAAAGTCTTTTTTTATACAGCACATTTTCAGCAACAAGGCAATTCAACATGTTTTACACCAATTAGAGGAAATACAAGAAAGAAGGAAAAACAAAAAATACTCCACAATGTATAAACTAAGAGGAGTTTCTCTGGATGAACTAATACAAAAAGAAAAGTAAAAGTAGAAAACTACATATCGGTAAATTTGACACACTTAATAGGATCACGTGTAACAGATTACCTCTTTTTATTAATTAATTTGGGACTCCGTTCTCTTTCTTTGGTGCAGTTGAATGCATTTTAATTGAGTTTGAGTATTTATTTTCTGTACTGAGCAGAAAATAAATACTCGTAGTCACAGTGGGAAGGAACGTCTTCGTTTTAATACGAAGAAACCTCCACCAGATCCTGGTCTGGTGAAACTGGAAAACAAAACCGTAAACCATCCAAAAAGTATTTCATCTCTGCTGGGGCTGTGAGATAACAGGGATTCTGGTTTCCTGCATTGAAAATCATTTTGCGTGACATTCTGCAGAGTAGTCCTTTCAGTCGCGTTAAAATTAGTTTTGGTCATCAAAACAAAACTTGATCCGAAACGAAACTTTGGTTTTAAACTCTCCAAAATTTTAGTTGAAAAAAACCCCCTCAGATTTCATCCTGGCTGTGACTCTGGAGTGTGAAATTTAAAATACACCAGTTGTTATTGCAAGTCTCAAATTGTGAGGTGACATGTGGAATGTGCGCCTGAGCGAAGAGAGAGAGAGAGACAGAGTTAAAGTAAAGAAACTAGTTTAAGAGGAGGGGGAAAAAAACAACAACATGAAAACATCCAAAAACAAATTATTGGGATCAAGCCAGAAGCTTCAGGTCTCCATAGAAACTTCGCACACTTCACACACTCGTCTCCCTCTCTCTCTCTCTCTTCCGTCTTTTCTCTTTATTTTTATTTCTTCAGTTCCCAAATAACTTAATTAAAGCTAAGGCAGGCGACCATGCTGTGAGAGATGATGGGAGGCCTGAAATGATTTGTGATGGATTACTGCATGTTATCTTCCCTTTATTTACTCGGTGGAAATGCACTTTGGCTTGATACAAAACAAAACCAATGTGTGATAAAGAGTGCGGGGCCTTTTTTGTTGTTGCTGTTGTTGTTGCTGTGCGTGTTCGCTCAAAATGACTCGGTGAAAAACAACTCTTTGCAAATACGAACAACACTTTTTTTTTTTAAACTCCACATATATATATAAATATATATATCATCCGTGTGTTTGTTTTGAACTGGTGTCCTGCTGTCTGCACAGATAAAAGTGGTGGCAGCAGCAGTAGGTACCTGTAAAAAGCTCCACTGCCGAGCGCCAGTGATAAACACGGCTCTTAATTGGATATCATGGGGGGAGTAGAACACATCATCTTCACTTCAACTGATTAATTAGCAAAGTTTGCCTCTCTGTTTATTCTCCCCTTTTCCAGAGCACCATCTTGACAGCGCACAAGGTTATTCCGGCGCAAAGGTCGCCATCAAAGTTGAGAAAAGTTGAGCCGAGGTGGCCGGTGCCGGGGTCAGCGGGGGTCGCGTTTCCTTACATGTTTTTGGAGGCTTTGGTACAAGGTCCTTGACATTTTTTTGAGCAGAAACACAACAGGATCACGGTACCAGCGCACTCTTCTCTGACCTGCACTCAGAGCGGCTTTTATTGCAGACTAATTAGGAGCGGAATGAAGAAGTTAACGCCAGTCTTTGTCTTCGCTCTTCGGCTAGATGGTTTGTGCGAATTCAAAATTAAAGCAATTCCCTTCAAAGACGTAATTCACTGCTCAACCTGGCTCTTCCCCAGAGCACGTAACGAGCTGAGCTCATACAAACTGACAGCGTCTTACAATTCATTATAACAACACACCAAACTCTGCAAAACGATATTACGAGGTAGTTGGTATAGTAGCAGGCTCTGTTTTGTAAATTTTCTCCTCCATTTACTCTTCGCTTCTCTGCGTCCAACGGATTCAGATTTGCTTGTATATATAGATTCTAGTAGCCCATTGTTGCAAACTCGTGTTTGTCATAAAATGCCATTCCAGTGATGCAGAGGTAAGGCTGTCAATGTCTTAGGATGCATTCACACCAGCCCTGTTTGGTCCGCTTCAATCAAACTCTAGTTTGTTGGTGTAGAAAGTCTGGCGTGTTTGCATCGGTGTGTGGATTCACATTTGAAATCTGATGCGTATCAACAAAGCGAACTAAAACCCTCTGTTTGGTTGAAGCGAACTCTGGCACGATTCGCCAAAAGGGCCGGAGAAGCATTCCGGTTAGATACAATCAAAACCAAAGCCTGAGTCTAGTGCTAGAAATGGGTTGTGATCAAAGACAAATGAGAAATCCTGGAACTGCTAAACTCTGACACCACTCCATTTTGTTGAAATGCTTATGACGTCTTCAGAGGTTTTTGTGTCGTTTCCTGCAGCGGTTCTCAGTGCAGCGTTGCCACAAGCGAGAGGGTGAACAATGAGACGTTTCAATTTTGGTTCCCAATCGATCCGAGTCTACCGGTGTATCAGGTGTGGAAACACCTTAACATGCAGTGATTGTTGTTCCTTTTACAATAAGGGAAGATTTTCTAACAATGGAGAGAGTGAGCACACCTGTTGTGCAAGTTGTTGATATGAACTGGTACCAGCTTAACATGTCAATGTTAAATAATTTTCTCTTTGTTTTAAAATAGCAGTAAAACCCGGTGTAATTGTTGCAATCACCCAAAGTTCATATCAGCGTTTAAAACCTAAGAATCTTTTACAGCTGAGGTTGTTCATAGTTCTGTTGGGTTTGAGGTTTGGAGACACTTCTCTTTATTTACTAAGCCAATCAGCAGAATTTGCTGTTTTTTAAAAGAAGTCTCCCTCCTTCACAGTACACTGAATCCATGCAGATTTGACGTTAAAGTTGGCTGCAGATGATGGGGACACGAGATAATACTACTATGAACCGTGAAAGCGACATTACAACAAATCCAAAAGGCTCAACCGAATGAACCAAGCATTTAAACGTAGTGGTCTCAAAGTGCAAAGGTTCTGTTTGTGTTGTTTTGACTTTGTAGCAACTTCAGAAACCGCAGTGTGTCCTCTGAAGCACAGGAGAAAATGATGCTCTGTCAAATTTATCGCAGACACAAAGACACCATACGTCTTAAACCTTTAAGGTTTGGTCCTCCAGGCAGATTTTCCGTCTTCTTCTTTCTTTCTTTTTTTTTTTTTTCACGCCCACTCACCCTTTTGAAACTCCAAACACGCAGCTTGTTTCAGACAGTCTTCACAAAACAGTGAAGTTTTAAACTTCGTCTGATATCAAACAGTGTCTGGGCTGTCACCCACTGTCAATCAGTGGACTGTATCAAGAGCTCAGTCAGTCAGAGCTGAAAGGTTTGTTTTGCTATTTCAGGGATACATGTAAGAACACGTCTCAGATTTTATCTTATATTTTTTTTCAACTCCGCTTTGGATTGAAGCTTTGAAATGAAGCGGATGCTTTCAAGCCACCACCAGTTGCTCGTAATTCTGCCTGTGCGTAATGTTCCCAACGCCAGGGTCAGTCAGGCTGCAGTCGCAGAGACTTTCTGCCTGGTTAAGGTTCGCTAACCTGAAACTATGAGGGCTCCCGAGTGGTTAACTGGGTCGGACATTTGTACCAAAACAGTGTATCTTTTTATTCCTTTGCAGGGCAGTAAACAGAGCTGCTATTACTACCGCTGAATTGAACTCGAGACGACGGAGCCGGGCTTTTTGCTTTGTGGTATTCTCTTTCTTCTAATGGACTGTCTTCAGCCAGAGGTGCTATCCATCACACGCACTACCTGAAGTCTGGAGCCTCTATAAAGATTAGGACTGTTAAGAGAAGATGGATGGCCCCTGTCGCCGCCAAGCATCATCCCCAAATGCCTAAATTAAATGTAGAAATTCCCATAGGGAGGCTAGATTAGCCTCGTAATAGCCGGCATGAGCCAGGACTTCCTCCACCCCGTTATCGTTCCACGGGTATATCTTTAAATATTTATGAAAATTGTGAACATTACCTTTAAGAGTCATTTAAGGTTAGTTGAAGAGCACTTTAAAGGCGGGCGAAAATCTCGCCCGAGTTGAATTCCCGGTGATCAAGGTGGCAGAGAAGCGCCGAGGGGATCTTTTCCACTCTCCTCTCTCTCTCTTGTGTTTTTTGCCCCTGGGAATTAGTCAAAGAGAGAAACAATCGTTAAGGAAGTCCATATTAGATTGACCTTTGTATCTCGGCTTACACCTCTTCTAGTCTTTTAAAAGGTTTGTTGGTCCTGTGGCCTTTTAAAGCCAGTAGTTATGGATGTTTCCTCCCACCGAGATGGTTCTGCGTTATACTAGGAAAGCTTTTTATGAAAGCACCATATTTTATCAGACAAAGAAGAGAGCAAAGTGACACAGATTACATATATAAAAAAAGGCGTATCGATCTTAGAAATATAACATTAAACAGAGCACCGACAAACGTGGACAAAGATGCAATCGATTCAGTCACTATTACATGGGGGGGAAAAGATTCAGTCTAAAAAATGAGGATATAAAGCAGCAGAACATGTGGAAACCAGTATATTTGGTTTAGTTTTTAGTGAAAATATCTTAGTACAATTGAAATAAGACAAAACTACAAGCAACTTTTCAGCCAGATGTAGTAGGAGCTTATTTTAAGTCAATAATTCCTTAATATGGTGGCCACAACATATTAAGTGGAAACAACATCGAAGAGACAAAAGGACCACAATAGTGGAAGAAATATTTCTAATGGAGAAACTGACTAACAGGTTAAAACTACACAAATGGACAAATTTGACACTTTGTATAAACAAATAAAGGTTGTTATCAGGCGATTAGTTGAATGTGTTGTGTGTTTTCTATTTTAATTCATTGTAAAATCAATAAAGAATAAGTCACAAAAAGAAAATACCATCTCAAAACAAGCAATATTTTAGATGAAAATCGAATACAAAACAGATTTTAAAGGAAATGTGGGGTTAGTCACTGGTATCTGGGTAAACCAAGCTTTCTAAGAAGTTGCATCAGCCCATTCTTACAGTCGTTTCAATGAGATCTTGGAGAAACTAGTAGAGTTTCCTCAGCCTGGACGGCTAAATATGTGGATACAGATTCAATATCTCTCCCCGCAAAAAAGCACAAACAGTTGTGATGAGGACGATTCTCATTAAACACTTTATTTTAAAACCTCAGATGGCAATCTACAAGCGTCATACCTTTTGAGTTTCCCTCTGCAGGCTCTGCCTGAGCTAATATCAGCTCTTACTCTACAAACATTAAAATGGATAAAAAGGTTGGATTCTTTAAAAAAAAGAAAAACTACTAATGATTGCCTTGGTTCTGTTTTGTTATGTATGAGTTAAAATCAAACCAATGAATAATGAATGTTATGTATAACATTTGTAGTCGTGTAATACTCTGATATAATTTTGATCATTTTTTTCTTCAAAATCGCTGAATTTTTGCGTTTTCCCATTCAAATGCTTCGAAGCAAAGCTGGTGAAGCAGCAGCGAGCTGAGCCTCACCTTAGATTGATCAACCTCTCACTGACTGCACTGGCTGCCACTCGATGAGAGCACGCTCCTCCTGTCTAAAATGGTTAAAAAACATTCGATATATGAACTGATTTTCCATCATTTACATGCAGCCAGTCTTTGTGTAGCTCGGCTGATACAGAGAGAGAGGAAAAGGTGGTTTGAGTTGTACGTCAACGGTTTCCCCTTTCCTGTGCAGCACTGAAATAATAATATCTATATTTCCAAGTTTCATTGAGTTAAAGAAATTATTCTACCAAGGCAGCGGGGCTATAGATGGCACGTGGAAGTGTAGTGTTTTTGCCCGTCAATATTGTCCAGATGCATGAAATATACGTATGTCAACAATAACATGCAGGGGGTCTTATGATTTTGATTGAGTTAATACCTCACCAGCCATGAACCTCAACACACGTCACAAATATATGTCTGTGTTTGCACATGTGTGTGTGTGTCATTGTATTTTTTTCTTCCATGAACAAGCATACCAACAGAACATGAGGAATTATAAATAATTTGTCTTGTTTAGGAGCTTATTTCATATAGCCTGCAGGCCCGACTCTCTCTGCTCTGAAGGTTAATGGAAACTATGTTAGAAATGAGAAATCAAAACACGAGTACCACACAGTCCAAGCCGTTGAGATTCATAATGTCTTCCTGCAAATGTCTTTTTTTTTTTTTTTTTACCTCCCCTCAACTGGACATTTTCCCTGCATTTAGGGGAGTTGTTTAACAAATGATCAATAGTGAACACTACAGGTGTTATGGGAAACTTATATCCCCAATGCCTTCTATCAGAGTTTATTTTTTCTGGGTATCCAGCTCGCTGTCGATCCTTTTTCTATTTGAAGAATAAAAAACTGCCTCCAATCATGCTTCTTTTTTCCCCCCCTCCGCAGTTTTTATTCCAATATTTAAATCTAGCATCACGAACGTCACCCCTGCTGCTGCAGTCCCTGAACCCCGTCTCTCTTCCTCTCATGTCAATGCATCACGGAAAGATTTTTTTCACAATCTTTTCTTTTCCCCGTTCTCGCTAGCGGTGTAAAGCCCCTTGTGTATCATTTCTAAGTCTGGCAAAGGTGAGAAAGAGGAGCTTTTCTCATTTCCTTTGACTGTTTTTGGAGCCGAATCGCATTAGCACAGTGACGGGGGCTTGTACGACTGGGGCCATATAACATCCCACTTTGCCTCGGTCCAAACTGCGGGTGATTTGCGGCGGGTTTGAATGATGCAACAGGAATTTCGAAAATTACTCTCCGTGGCATTTTCACTAATGTTGGAGTCTCCGCTCCCGGGGGTTCCCACACATCCGTTAAAAGACGCAATCATCCTGTATTTGATCAGTGGGCCCAGTTTGAACCCGATGAGGGACAGGCTTTGTCCCATTCCTCCTAGTCGTCTTGAAAGCAATATTATGCTGCATATGCCTTAAAGAGTGGCTCGGGGAATAGACTTTAAAATGCTTCTGTTAGTTTATAAATCACTGATCAGCTTGGCACCAAAAGGCGTTAAAGATCTATTGTTGTTGGATCAGCCCTCCAGACCTCTCAGGTGTTCTGGTTCGGTTTTCACTAATTCAGAACAAACTTCCAGAAAACTGCGAAACAGCTGAAACGCTGAGTTCCTTCAAAGCAAGGCCATTCTCTGTTTAGCTGGAACCACTGATTAATTATTGTCTCCATTCAATACTTGATAGTTACTACTCTTGATGATTTTGATGATGGTATTTGGCTCGCCATTTCTAACATTACAGTTTTAAATATAACATAAATGTTTGTGTTTACTAGCAGCAGCGCATAAGAAAACATCCCGTCCCATTCTAGTGGAAGATTATTTTTGTTTTTAATAAGGAGTTTTGAAGTATAAAATTCCTCGTGGTTGCATAAACATTTAAGAAGAAGAAAGAGGCTCACAAGCCTGAAAACCACCAGAATACAGCATATTGTTGTGGGGGTGTTTTGCCGCAGGAGGGACCGGTGCACCGCGCCAAGTGAATAGCAACACGAAGAAAAGGAGAATATGTGGAGATATTAAAAAAGAACTTTGAAACATCAGCCAGGAAGTCGAAGCTTTGGCACCAGTAGATCTTAAAGCTAAGCATGCCACCAAACTTGGTCACAGAGTCAAATTTGAAACGTCAAAGTCGATGTTGTGACGTTCCAGCAGTGTGTTGAAGAATACCTGGAACATTTGGCAAAACCTATCTGGTTTAGAAAGCACGATCGATCAAAATGTCTTGTTTCGGGAAATTCTGAATTTAAGAAAAATAAGAGAAATCAAGATTGTGTTTGCATTTACAATTTAGCCAAACCTGACTGACCTAAACAGGAAAAGCTACATTCCATTTCATGGCAACGTTTTTAATCATTTCACATGGCTTATTTAAATATCTGGTTTCAACTGGGCAAAATAACAGTATTGGAAATTAAGAAAATGTACACACTACCATTCAAGACTGTGTAAATACTAAAAAAAACACTTTAGCCAAAACCCTGTTATTAGTAGTATTATTATTCACATTCATTCATGCATTACTAATCTGATGAAGGTTAATTATCTAAACGTCACTGGGGAAGTGATTTCAGACCCAATTAGTCCACAGCTAAAAAGCACTTCAGAAATTAGACATGAAAAACAACTAGTGACACAATTACACTAACATACGTCTTCCAATATGAACAACAGTCAGTCTTGCCCTTTCAGGAGTCCTTTTGTTTTCCTGCTGGAAACGTCGCCTCCCCCCCCCCTGCCGCCTCCCTCCTCTCGGTTCGCCGGGGCAATATCAGATTTAGAGCCGCCATTACGGCGTCAAGCGCTCGCCGCTTTGTGCGCCAGCTAGCCGTGTTAGCAGACCTGGGCACCACCAGTGTTGTGGGTAACAGGCCAAGATGTGTCAGGGGAGCAGAGTGCTATTATCTGCAGTGAAAATCCATGCTATCCTGACTGCTACAATTAGTGTCAGCTGGGGTATTGAGTCTTTAAAAAGGACTCCTGGCCTTTTGGCTCTCAGCCTGTCTGGCTATAGATGTCTCTAATGAGTCATTAGCTGCATGGCCTCTCCTCTCATGAGTCCACCCCATAATGGCACACCTTTCATCTATTTTACAGAGAGGCTGTCGTTGGTCATTAGCGCGGCTCTGAAGTCCCATTACCTTTACGTCAATGATGAATGAATAGAACGCGGCTGCCAAGAACAATATCTCCCCCGTATCCTCTGGTCAACCATGACTCTGTTTTAATTCAATTTCTCCTCCGCCATTAAATGTAATTGATAATTGATGCGGTCGGACTCGGTCGCGGGGAAGACGTTAAGCATTCGAGCTGAAACCGCAGGGCGGCCCGTCGCTCTCCGTGTGTTTACTGCGAGGTGTGTTTTGCTGTCTTCAGCAGGCGGAAAGCAGCAGCAGCAGCAGCAGCAGTTTTGCTGTCACAGATGATGACTTGACACTGATGTGATCCTCCGGGGAGAGAGCTGTGGCTTCTTGGAAAGAGAAACCTTCAGAAATAATGAAGCTGCTTCGCCGGTCTAAAACGCTGCGCAAATGCCCACGAGTGCCATCTCGGCGGTGCCGCTCTGTGTTGCCTCAGCGCCCCCTTTCTTTTCCCCTCCCTCTGCGAAAA